CAACTTGAGATTTTTATAGGTGGTGTCAGCATCTCTTGTTTCCAAGCTTCAACCATTCAAATCTACAGATTCAGGCGGGTAAGTACCTTGTATTTTTGGAGGCAGTGAAGTAATTTATTTTATGTATTAATGTAATTTAATTTACACAAGTTCACATAACTGTTTTTAGTCTACATTTGTTCTCTGGAAAGCTTAAAGGAATGTGTTGATTTGGTTTTATGTTTATAATGAGAAAGCATAAATCTTAGAGTTTGAATCTGCGTTAATACATTTTTTAATAAATGAAATGTTAAATGTTGTGCTGAAATTAAGCTTATATAATTGGATGTGTAAAAGAAAAGAATTACAATAATTCTGAAAGTTCTAAGGTTAGCTAGTAATGGATATATTATTTTTAAGACGTCTTGAATGTTTTAAAGGTTAGAAATTTCAGTTAAGGTGTGTAAAACTTTATTTGTGTAAGAACTGAAACATTTTGCTTACTGTTGAACTAGTAAAAGAGGAAGGCTAGAAACCCCAGTATCTTACTTTTAACTGTGTGTGTGAAATCAATGCTTAATTATGAGCACGTAGATTTATGTTTTTTAATTTAATTTACCTTTGAATGCATACTTTAAAATACCTCAAGTTTCATGAAAGTATATTGTATTATCATAAGCATTCGAGTTAACGCAATTGAATTTAAAGCTTGTAAAACGTTAATATTATTTGTAGTATAATAAACTCTCAAGTAAACAAATTATATTTAACCTCATAAATGTGCATATTATAGTGTAAATTGTCTTGCATTGTGTTAGATCTGTAAGAGATGTTGTGAACAAAATTAAGGGTTCAAATTTACTTCTCACTTTTTTTTAAACTGATATTTGTTTAAAATAATCTTATATATATGTAGAAAGAGGGAGCTAAAATTGTTAGGTTGTTATCATAAGTTGGGCTTATATCATGGCATTCTTAGAAAAAATTAGGAAAGAGGACCTTCAAACCTTAGCTGAAGAGTTATGGGGACAAGTCGGCACTGAACTTAGGATATTGGATCTAAGACAGCTGATTATGGGAAATAAATCCTGCGAGGATTAACTAGTGAAAGGCCTGTTAGAAAATATCACTTCAACGAGGCTTGAAAGAGAAGAAAAGAAGCAGGAAAAAATTAGGAGAGAAGAGGAAGAGAAGGAGGAAAGAATTAGGAGAGAAGCATTAAAGAATTAGGAGAGAAGAAGCAGAGAGGCAGGATAGAATTAGGAAAGAAGAAGAAGAGAGGCAGGATAGAATTAGGAGAGAAGAAAGGGAGTTTGATTGGTTTGGTTTTATTAGATTACGGCAAAGCACTCGAAGGCTATCTGCCTTAAGGGAGGGATGCCTTCGTGGAGGACTTTTTAAGGGAAACTGGCTCGTATACACGTTACACATGGGGAAAACCACGAAAACACCCATGCAGCCAGCCCGTTCGCGGGATTCGAACCTCGGACCGAACTACCAGTGTTTAGTGACGTTACCGCTCCGCCGCTGGTGAGCCCAAAAGGGTGTTTGAATTAACGAGGTTAAGATTACTAGCCGCTAACGGAAAGGACTTTTTAAATAGTGGGAATGAAGGCAATGTGCTTAGGAAAAGCCGTTGCGATCTGTAAAAAATGATTCCAAAATTTGATCCCAAAGAGAACGATATTAGTTTGCATATAGCCAGCGAAGCCAAGCGAAGCGTGCGACACTTCACCAATCAGAATGGGTTTCTGTTTTATTGATAGTTTTGCCAACTGACATAGTTCAGCTGATTATGCGAGAGCCAGAGCAGCGGACTAAAAGACAACTGGTCTCCTTCCTTCATCCATCACGGGTGATCAAACGTTACATGACTTATAAGAGATTCTCTTAGTGAGAACGTATGGTTTTCAGTGACGAGTTATGGTGGTTGATGTGAGTTTATGACAGCGCACACTTTCCTGGAAACTAGCCGACTGAAGAAAAAGTTTCTGGATTTACTTCAGAACGCCATATATAGCTCCATACTACTATAGACTGTTTAAAGAGTCTTATCCTACGTTAGTTATACACATGTAGTAGTCTTCCGTGCTACCCTCACAGACAACGGATAATAGTGCAGTATGACCGCGGTATTCTATCACCTGTTGAGAAAAATTTATTCTCACAACATTCCCAGGCTATTTCATAGAGATAATGCTTGGCGTGTCCTGCGCGGTCGTGTATGCTAGCATGCTTATAGGGGCAGTCAGTTCGCTACACCTCATCTTTTATTAAGCGTGTATAAGGCAAGATGGATCTATCCATCCTGAAATGCTGCTGAGCTGATCAGCGAACTGGAACATATTATACAAAGCAGTCTACCCCAGAAACGCTGTTCAAGATTACCTACGACAGATAATCTCTTGCATCGAACCCAAAGCTTAATTTTTCCACTTTTGCAGCTATTTTATTGAAATAAATATCTTCAGCAATCTAGGAGCCCACCAGCGGCCGAGCGGTAACGTGGCTGAACACTGGTAGTTCGGTATCCGAGGTTCGAATCCCGCGAACGGGCTGGCTGCATGGGTGTTTTCGTGGTTTTCCCCATGTGTAACGTGTATACGAGCCAGTTTCCCTTAAAAAGTCCTCCACGAAATCATCCCTCCCTTAAGGCAGTGTGGTGTTGTTGGCGAGATCACCTAAAAGTAACGATACTAAGAGTATCAAATACAAATTAATTCCGCGCAAATAATTAAACTAAAATTTAGTGGTTAGTACATTGCATGATCTTTACTAATAAGAATAAAATGACTTACCCAATAAGGCATGCATGAGTCGGTAACTCTCTTTTTCTAATCTCACATTTATTTTATCAAACACATTTTCTGGATTAAATTTGGAAAATTTATCACACACATATAAAATATCAACATATCATAAGTTAGATACACACAACGTGATAAATTAAAATGGAATCGTCGGTGAATGCCAAAACGTGACTGTTCGTAGATAAATTGTAATCCTGTCTCATCAAATATGTACGCAGTCGAAATTTTCTCATATTCATTTTCGTATTGTCGCGCAGTCTTATTACACACGTGCAAGCTCTTCTTTTTTCACACTCACTTTTCCTTAACACACTTATCATCACGTGGTGACCCATCGCTGGTCAAGCTCATCTTGGAGTCGAACACCTATTGATGATCTGCTTGAGCGTTTTTTTTTTTTTTTTTTAAATTTTTTTTTTTTTTTTTTTTATGTTATGTTATTCACGGCAGCAGGACGTAGTGAGTTTCAAACCAAGCATTTTTCGCTAGATATTACATCTCTTAACTCTGCTTCTTTCTATGCATAATACGACGACATTCCACGTTAGAATATGCAGGAACGATGGCGAAGGCTGAGTGTGTGGCCCAAAGGCCCACACACTCGTTAACACGACGTCAGGCAGAAAGAGAGAAAGAGCAAACCAGTCCTTCCAGTTTTTATACATTGCGACGCATGTGGCAACGCGCGATAACGATACAAGAATCGATGATGCCATACTGTTCACTGTGAGAATTCTGTATTCTCACAGGCAGATAGCCCTCGAGTGCTTTGCCGTAATCTAATAAACCAAACCACACCAAATCAGCAATCTAAGATTCTAATATGCTTTTTTCTTCTCATTTTTCGCTTACACAAATAAATTTTTTCTTGCTTATCTAAGTTATTCTGAGACTTTTTCCTTCTGATAAAGAATGTTGAGTAGCACGTTTTTGTGTTAAAAGCAGAAGCAAAAATATGAAAAACTATCCGAGTGTTCTCTAAATATTATAAAATGTGATAAGCGATCTCTAAATATTGTAAAATTTAATAACGCTTTCCAACATAACCAACATTTTTCACACTAAAGTATTATAATTATTGCATTGGTTGTTAGAATTGCATCAGATAACTTTAAAAAAAAAAAGAACTTATGGCGTACGAGTACATTTGAAAACTCAAAAAAGTAAATAAAAAGACTTGCAAAGAACTAAAATGAAATATCGAAGACCACATGATTTCTTAGGTGAATTTAGAAAGTAAGTCTTTTAATGCAATAAATAAATAAATTTTCGGAGATCTAGGATGACGTAGCAAGTACCACATGATGTTATAGGAAAATGTATGAAACAAATCTTTCAATACAGCAAAGCAGGTCTGAAAACTTTGGAACAGAAATTATTTTAATAAATGAAAATAAATACCGTGTTTACTCGTGTATTCCCTCCCTTTTTTAAAATTTCTCCACTTGAAAATTGAGAGTGAAGGTTATGCGGTTATGCGGTTTACAACCTTTCCGATGAAAGATCTAAATTAAGAATATATTGCGTTAAAAAGTACATATGAAGAGATGAACTAATATTATTACATTTTGTATTTCAAAGAAGTTTCAGTAATGTTCCTTTTACTTATTGAATGTACTTCCTCGTGTACTAGGTACCTATTTTACGTTGTTATTATTAATCTGAAGTTTCTAAATCATGTGCTTAAAAAGCTAGCTGGTAGAACACGCGCCAGAAAGAAATATGCGACTAAATGCAATATTTCGCTTACTAAAAGTAATAACTTTTAATGAAGATCCAAAGAAATGGTAGGAATAATTTTATAAACTTTGAATTTCATTTAAGAATTATTTATGCTTTCGCAGTCAATGGGCTTACTAAATATTCAATCATTGAATAAATTTAAATGAATAATTAATTAATCCCAATACGTCTTACGAGCGCATTTTTGTATACCAATCAAACTCTTCAGAATTATAAATTAAATTTAAACAATTCTAAAGAAGATTAGTGAAAATTAATAGCACTTACTTTAATTACAAGTATAAATCCTGCTACTAGTCTTATTATTTCTGCAAACATTTTCAAACATGGCTAACAATTTTTCTTCTAGAAATCTCAGAAATTACTGAAAATTTAATTTCAGGCAATTTTTTATTACTTTTCCTTTCAATATGTATAAGCATAGAAGATAAGATCTTTTATATATTTTAAAGCGAAATGTATACTTACAACTTTCCATCTGTAAAGAACAAGTTTGTGTATCATGAGGATAGCTTGCAAAATTCATCGCACATGATAGCGTAAGTGTGAGCCTGGATATAGATAAAGAAAATATATAGGTATTATTTTGGCGCAAACTGATATTTAAAATTATCCTAAAAACAGCTAAAAGAAATTATATATCACACTAAAAATTAGTCGAAGCATTTCAAAATACATTTTATGAACTGTACGACTTACTTGACCATGTATAGAATATCTTTGTTATGGTAAAGCCAAACGTAATGATTGGGTATTGTCATCGTCTGAAATGTGACTGCTTTGGCATTCTTGAAATATGAATCCGGTCTCCACATATTTTGCAACCACTGTACTTCCAGAAGACGATATTCGGAAGTCATGTTTTCTGGTAATCGCAAACGGTGATCTTTCCACTTCTGAGCAAAAAATATATCAGCTGCATATGTCTGAAAAATTTTACATATAAATTAACATTTCCATGCAAAGAAACTAGAAAGTCTTACGGATAGTTTTTGACTTAAGTTTGGCATGTCCTTTATTTCATGTTTCTGTTGAAGTCCTTTAGTTTCATATTACTAGTAAAGGATATAATACACGTATCTTCCTGCTGATATAATTAAGTATTTCTGATAGCTGTTTACTCGCGTAAGACTATTCAGAAAATTTAGTTGAAAATGCAATTTAAAAATATGAAAAATTTATAGAATAAGAAGCATCAGAAACAGTTTTAAATTTACCAAAAGTAAACTGTAAGAATAAGTGACGTACTTTCAGAAATATAAATATATTTAATAGGAAGTTCTTGCATCATAGAAGATATTTTGCAAAGTGGGAAATCGGTCCTGCTGCATTTTTCTCCTGCTGGAATTATTGCATTCATCAGCCAGGGCAAATTAGCAGAACTTCAAATTAATGCAGATAATTCTTTGAGACAATTTCTTTTATTTCTTAGCTTTGATATAATTATTGGATAATGTTTGCATGGGTTTCTTCATATAGTTTTATGACGAATCCTTTGAACTCTGGTCAAGTTATTCCGGTAGTGCCATCAGCCTGTAGTGTACTCGTTGTTGCTAGTTCTTCAAATCTTACTAAAACACCAATGTACTCTGACTCGTAAACTAACAGTACGGTTGATATTTTAGGATTAAAAAGGACAACAATAGAAAGAGGGAATAACCTAAGGAAGGAAGTACCTGTGATTTGATGTAAAGTGAGTTAAAAAATAAGCGCCATATTCGGAATTCTGATTTTTTTAATTAACTTCTTAATTTTGCAATGTTTTTAATAGGCAGCCTCATAAGTAGGCCTTGGCGAAAGCGGATTTTCCCGCGCAGCTTGATTAGGGGCACAAATATTTTAATTGATTTCCATTATTTGAGGGAAAATGACATTTTTCGATAAACGTTGGCAGACGTTATGTTTTTCTTTCATTTTATTTCTTAGATAAGATAATTCATCGGTAAGATCGACCAAGTTGTATTCTATACAAAAGCGGCCAGGTCAAGGAGGGGTGCTAGTTTTATTGATATAGCTAAAGCTTACAGTGATTCATCGAGTTTCTGCCTCTTCAGTGAAAATTCGTGGAAAAGCCTATAAAGAGTAATAAAATGGGATTTGTACAAATCTATTTGCTCATTCATAAGAACTTTACTTCCATTCACCGCTTACTGAATTTTAGACATTTATAAACCAAATTTGTATCCATTTTACCAATATTTTCTTTTAAATTTTTAATTGTCTGTGCTTATAATGTGGTTATTGTTCCAGGTAACGAGGTTAAAATCCTTATGAATGAGAAAATAGATATACAAATATCTTTTGAATACACTTCTTTAATCTTTTAACCTTTAGAAGGAGAAGACTTCCGCTAACCTGTATGCTGGAGGTACTGAAAATGCCCTAAATTCCATCTTAGAACCAATTTCCTTCCGCCTTCCATTAACAAACAAAGAGGTTTGAAGGTTTCCAGTGATATCTTTTCTAGTTCCCAACAAAGGATCTTCCATTAGCCACTGAGTATATACTTTTTTATAAACGGATTTTGAAGGTGAAACAAGTTCCTTGGTCAAACCAACAAGAAAGAGGTATGAAGACTGATCTGCCTTAAAAGTTTAAAATTTTCTTGTGATCTTGTAATAGATAACAGAAATACAGTTTACACTTTACTTTGTGCCAAAAACTGAAAAATTTGTTTAGGATTCAGCTTCTTGTTCTTAAAAAGTTACTTCACAGAATTCATACATTAAAATCCGTAAGTATATCGATTTCTTTATTTCATTTAAAAATAGATATTTTTTAACAAGTTAAAAAAGTAGAACATTAACTGCGGCGATACTTCAGAGACGAGATGAAACTGAGTTTTTGAATATAGCTTATGCTTTATGTAATGAATTTGCAATGTTGCTTTGACCATCATTTAGAAATAATATTACTTTTATGATTATTTTCAATACTTCAATACTTTCATTGCCATTTCTGCACGGGAGTACTAAGTAAGGCGAACTTTAATACATTATTACCGACTTATTACCGGCAATAAATTTATATTTCTTATACTGATGCCAGTAAATATGCTACTTTGTTGACAAGTAACAGTAAATAAACTTATATATTTTTTACATTATTAAATTAATATAAACTAGAAATGGGCAAACATCCGTTCTAGAATTCGGATAGTTTCTGGGCGTCGAATACGCGGATACCTTAAATATTCAAATGCCTTGAACTTTTATTACATTGATCGTAATAATAAATATAAATAGTAAACAGGTTATAATACTAAATTCTAATATCCATCTTATTATCTAACTTATCTGATGTAAAGTCTAAATAAAGAACATAACATAAAACAAACAAACAAAAAATGAATGTGTTATAAAATTAATAAAAATCTATATCTGTATTGCAATGTATTGCGCATTATTCGAGATATCCGAATTTTTTATTTAATTACAATAATATTCGATATTATTCGTCCATTTCTAATATTAACACAAACGAAAAGTGCACTTTATAGTAAAAATTAACTTATAAACTATATGCGATTACAATATTATATTTAATAAAATTTTTGTAGGGAAATATGCTAGCAAACATTCTCGCCGAAGGACAGTTAAAAAAATAAGAGATATAAAAACAAAAAATATAAAGACAAATGTAACACTTATTGGCACTTTAAAAAAAAAAAAAAAAAAAAAAAAAAACCCTCAACCAACATTAACATCAGTAACTGAATTAAATCTACTTTCTACAGTTAATAATATTTCACATGAAACTGAAAAAAAATGATAATGAAGACAAAATTAAACACCAAGCCACAAAAGCTAAATACAGTGTGATGATATTCATATGGTGGATATTAAAGGAGAATCTATGAATAACAAATCAAAATTAATTATCAAATCAAAATTAATGAATAACAAAATAAAATCTATGAATAACAAATGAATTATAATAATTCCACAACAAGGGTGCATAACAAATAGTAACATTCGAATATTGTTCAACAGGGACCTGAATTAGGCAATGACATAATTATTTACCCTGATACAGAAAATAGGCATTTTGATTAAAAAAAAAAAAAAAAAAAAAAAAAAAAAGTTTATCAACTGTCCCTGTCCAATGGAGAGTAAATAATTAGAAATTAACTGATGAATTCCAAGCGAAATGTTGCACTGTTCTGTTTTCCATTCATTCTATTTGGTAAAAATCAGAATCAGAATGTATGTACCACCGGTGGATTTCGAGACTGGTAGCATTTGAATACAGCCTTAACACGACATAAAACTTCATTGCATTATAAAAATGTTATGTCCAACGGAAAACATACGAATCAAAAATTAGTGAAGGTGGTTTTATAGAAGAGCAGTCTAGAGGCAACGATTTTTAAAGGAAAGGTAAACTAGGGGCATATTTTAAAAGTTATTTTGGATGCATTTCTACACTGTAAAAAATAATGACGCTTTGATACGAGCTTGAGAGAAAACTTGTAATCTCGAATGTGAGAAATTTTTACGCTATAAAATTAATTATTCACTAAGATCAGATCCTATTATAGGACAACGTATTGAAAATTATAAGAAAAATAAGGTTAATTTTTCCTCTGCGATAATATATAATGACAGGATTAATATAGATGCTTTCAAAATTAGGCAGCATACTATTTCTAATATTCAAAAAGCAAAATATTTTTCTATTACATTTGATTGCACAGACAGTTCTCAATGCTCAAATTGTACTGTATGCTAACACGGATTCTTACACAAATAAATGTAGCAATAAAAAAGCTTTATATATATTTTTGGGATCAATTAAAAATCTGGCAAAGCACTTGCGAATAACATCGAAAAAGTTAATATCAGACGGACTAAATATTAGAAGTATAAAAGGACAGTTGTATGATATTGAAGTATATATGAGATGTTCTTCTCAATTCGTTGAAAAATTTAACTGAAGAAATTAATATTCAAGCTTGCGTATTAGACAAGAGACAACGCAAAGTAAAAATTATGCCTGGTGAAAAGTCCTCTGATGATTCGTTTTCAATGAATGAAACTTGATTACTTAAAAAATATGTTTGTGAAGTAGTAGATATAACTACTCATTCAATTCAATGACATATTTACAGCATTACAAGAGATCGCAAACTATTTCAGTTTTTTAAATGGACATTAAAATTTTTACCGCTAATTAACATGAAACTATGCGCAGATAACTTGTATTTCAATCATAATACTCACTCAGATGCTTCTGAATTTGTGTGAAATAGAGAGAGAGAGAGTTTCAAATACCAAGCGATGGAAGTATTTGAAAATATAGGCGATATGGATGCTTTTTAAATGCTGCCAAAAAGTACATACTCTTATTGCACAATGCGCATCCAAAACTTGACACTGTTTTAGAATACCTGTTACAACAACGTCCTGCGAATGTTCCTTTAGCAAACTGAAGATCCCGAAATCGTATCTACGTTCTTCTGTTGGACAAGAGCGATTGACAAATACATTCGTGCTAAAAGAATAAGCAACAAACGCTAAAAGAAAAGGTACGAACGTAAAACTGCAAATTAAAACATACAGTTTACATATGAGGTAAAGGCCCTATCACCGAATGCAAATGGGCAAATCAAATTAACATAAAATGTAATCCCGTAGTCACTCTACTATGCCTTAAAAAGGGGCATGGCGGACCTATGCGTCAGTTCAAAAACAGTGGTAGTTTCGTATAATCTGAGATAACCAAAGTGGAAAGCATGAGCCGAAGACACCATTTGCACCATTAAATGCGTTATTGGACTGTTAGAGGGATTGCAAGACAATCCGCTGTTGTATGAAAGTGGAATGTGCATCGTTGTGTTATCAACAGGCTGTGGAATCTTTACTACTCTATTTCACTGTATCTATCTGCGTACTCTATTTACGGCACTGCTTGAGGTCAGTCATAGTCCCAGTTTCCGAGTCAGAGCTCTTCGTCAACTCAGCTTATAATTTTACATATATTAGTTACAGCAAAGCATGCGAGTGGAAAAAGATGTATTCCAGAGGACTTTCTGATTGTAACTAGTCACTCACGTATTTACGCCGGCATATGAACTACGATCCAAGCACTAATAGTCAACGATCTTATCTGCTCGGCCATTGGTGAACTTCTGATTTTACTTAAAAATGTGAGGGAGGAAAGCTTTTAATTTCCAACGCAGCATTTGACAAATTACGGATAGAAACTGAGGAGTGTATAATTAGGTTAACAAAGCAATGTGTGTACAAATTAAACACAAATTAAACTTAACATAATTAACATTTACTGTTATTCTGTTATAATGCCATCTACGGCTGTGAAGATTTTTGGGGCTTTGGCAACATTTGGCATATAATTTTTTGAGGATTTCATCTTCACAATTGGCTGCAGTTGGCAATTTAAAAATAATGAGAATTTTAAAATGCAACGAAATTACCATGGAGCCTTCATTGATGGAATCAAGACCCATTACAGTAACATGGAAGAGCACCCTTGTAGGTTTACCTAGAGAAAAGAAATAATATACCATTAAAAAAATGTTTCGGTCCATTTGCTCTCGTATCCGCTGATTCAATAACCATAATTCACAGTGACCCTCCCGAAAAGGTTGAAAGTATAAAAATGTTAGACTGTCTCAGCCGCAATCATGAAGGCAAACTCGCATGTGCCATTCGGATAGATTTATTTTCAAAATAGGGTAGATGGACAGGAATCATGTAGTAGATTTTTTTTCCTGTCTTATGTTTTCCTTGTTTATTTCCACAGCGTTCAAGAAGCACAGACATAAGAAGATAGAAAATTATTTTTAAGTTATCCAAATTGATAATGCGAATCATCATTCTTAATTAGCTTTTTTATTATATTTTGTGTATTTATTTATTTAGATAGTCGTAAAAATGTAAGTGTATTCCAATATAGTTTTGCTATGTAGACATTTTATAATAAAACGTAATAAGTAAATTTTATTGTATTATAATTGTAATTATAATTATTCAGTTATTTATTTTTATTGTATGATTTTCATTACTATATTATTATTAAACTAAATTCTAATAATTTTCTTGTTCTAAATAATTAATTATTATAATTATACGACAATAAATAATTATTAAAATTATATAATTAATTGATAATTATTCTATCTTCTTTATCTTTGAGCTAAAATTTCTATGCATTATTTCAGGCTGACAAAAATTCTTTGTAATTATTTATAATAATTGTACGATGATAAATAATTATTATAGTTATTTAAATAATTATAATAACTATAATGTAATAAATATTTATTTATATCTCTGATTTTTGCGCTGAAAACTATATGCAGTATTATACATACTGGGGTAGGTAAAAAACGAAATTCCTTACCTCTGTATCTCTTTAGTGTTCTGTATCACAGTCACTATACATGTCCAAGTTTTCATCCTCTTCATCAGAAGAAATGATTAAAAGACTCTCATAAATCTCACTAAACCATCTTTTTTCCAATAGTCATTTTCTACATGGGTGCAATACTTGTTTAATTTTTTTTTTTTTTTTCCTTTTAAGACCTTCTTCTGTAATTTTTAACAATTTATCCATTTCCATATCTCCACCTCTGTTGCAATTCCATTCAAATTACTTTATTTCACCCAAAACGAATTCAGTTGCAGTAATGCGGAAGGGGTATGGGGGCAGACGTAGAGCCGTAAAACCATGTTCTTCGAGCATTGAATCAAATTTATACAGCTTTTCTTAAGGAGCATTTTGTTTCGTAAGCTCCATCTACTCTACTTTCGGTAAATTTGGAAAGAGCTGTACATTTTTAAGTAACCATTACATTATTTCTTCTTTTAGACATGCCACAGTTGGACATTTATTTAATTGGACATTGTGATAGAAGGCATCATCCAAGTCACTAGAGCATTTGGTGGAAGATTTGGAAATACTTCTCCAGAAGTTCTCTTTTCAAAAACAGAAGAATTCATTTGCCCGTGATAGTCCACTGATGTGGTATCTGCTTTGTATACTAGAGGCGATCTAGTAAAAATCCTATATCGCTTTCAGCACTTAAAACAACACGTAAAAGAAGTCTTTTTAGACGCATTGTCTCTCTGCACGGCACCAAAAACTGTTTCCGATTGTCAGCATTTTGAGATTGTCATATTGATGTCCATCCAGGTTTCGTGAAAGTAAATAAGAGGTCTTTTTTGGCAATGAAACTGCTTCACGTTTCCAAGATACTGCATTCTCCTTAGCACACTGGCATTTCTTCCAATTAAAACTTTGTTTTGGTTTGGCTTTTTCTTCATAAAAATCCAATACTATGCAATATATTTCTTAACGTTTCTCGTTTCCAAGTAAAATTTGTCTTTTCTTGCAATACAGGATGTAATTTCGAAAGCGATGGAATTTTTTTCTGCGTTAATATAAAATTCATGAACATTTCTTCAAATTACGTCGAATTCAAAACCGTCCTAAGCCAGTCCTATCTAATACTTCCTTTGAGAAAGCTTTTTCGGGGAATGGTTATCTGGCCCTCCCTCCTTTACTGCCTTTCGACAAATTTTCTTTATTGTCGTCAACTATACTCCTGCAATGTTGCTGGTTCTTTTCGTGGGCTATGTGATGGGAATGCTAAGCTCTTGATTCTCAGCTTCATGTCACAAAACGTAACGATACTATGTAGCAGTTTCTTAGCACCAACGTGAGACACCTTGCTTTTACCAACTAAACTAATTTTAACGATAAAACAAGCTATTTCCAACACTTACACAAAAGACCACAATATTGGCAAATGTCACATTAAAATCAATTACAATCTAGGTTAAAGCCGCGCAGGTAGAAACCTATTGACTACAGCATGACCCGATAACATGGGGACTTTCCTTCCCTCTGTCGTAGTATTGCGATTTATGGATATGGAGTGATTGACTTGACGACAACACTTGACAAAGAGTCAAAACACAATTTATTCGCCAATATTTCACAGGAGAGTTCCCAAGACATGTTTACAATCGTCAAAAAACACACTGAAATAATCAGCAACACAGACTTCCGGCCATCAAGTTAAAACGGTGAAAACAGCTTCACGACAAAATATTAAGTACAGCTCCCGACTCGATCGATCGTTCCCGGAACTCAACATACTCTAGATACTCTTCACGATAAAACTCACAATACATTACACTCCGCGTAAAGGCAGGGTTTATATAGATTCCTGACTTCGAAAACATTCTGGGGTAAACCGGGAAGCATTCGTTCTAGAATGTCTCGTTCATCTATGGCATATCGCCAGTTTTGTCACCAAATGTCGCCAAATGACCGATTTTGGGCCAAATCTGGCAACTCTAAACCCACTTTGCGGGGAAGCTATCTTACCGCAGCTGGACATTTCGTAACAGTATAAATTCGTCTTTCCGGCAAAGAAAAGACTCTCACGTGACCTCTCACTGTGCGGCACGTAATTAAGGCCATTTTGGATGATTCTATGTGTTTTGGCAGAATGCAAACCAAGGTTGCGTTTGAGACTGGTTGAACTAGAAGCAGTTAACCAGTTACAAAATAAACGCCAAAAAAGAAAGGGCCGTAGTACTTTGAAATACAGCAGCTCCTACACGCCAATTACTGTCTGCTTGCGAAATTCGAAATCATAAGCTCAAATATGCATGCTCGATTTTAATAAATAAGTTAACAGATTTCTTTGCTTATGCACTGCTTTGAAATAAAGAAAGATACTTACTTTACTGTCCTTCTTTGAAACTGTGCATCACATTATACAAAACAAGTACAACTTTATTTCATTGCTTTATCATGTTCTGAGGATTAGCCTACAGCGTTCGTAGTCCCTTTTTTATTTATTTATTTATTTATTTATTATTTATTCTTTTAACGTTAGTAACGCCTTAATATATACAGCTTCTCAAGTAAGCGTTAATCAAATTTACTGCGTGATGAACGTTTAAATATATGGTATTAAATAAGTGTGGCGTTATATATATAATTGTCTGCGGTTTCGTTAACCTCATTAAATCTTCGAACATACTACCTACGGATACGGGAGCATAACTGTTTGGTTGTTTTATATTAAATAGCAAAAATCAAATATATGCAAAATGATATATGCGTATATATCTATATATATGTATATATATATATTTCAAACATTTCCAAAAGAGTAATAATCAACACAATTTATTCTCAGCTACTTAGAATGAAAAGAATTTGCAATACTGCGGATCACTTACAAGAAGAAATACTATACTTCGTAACTATTTTAAAAAGTAACCAAATACCACATAAAATAATTAAAAATTCCCTGACCAAAGCTGGCATTAACCTTACCTAATTATAGATTTTTTGAGTTAGATAATGATTTTTTATACCTAAAGCTACGGACGGTTTAAGAAGGATGACTAATTCAGAGAATCTATTGTAAAAATGTACAGAAAATTCTTGTTTATTCATTCTCTTTCCTCCTAAAAAATTTTGGCACTTTAATCTTAAATACTATTATGTACATATTTTAAATTTAAATTTCTTTAGTGGCCAATTTTACTGCTTTTATTAACAAATCGGGCTTTTTTTTTTCATTTTTCATAGTAGCTTGATCGCCCGCTAGCTTGAAGAATTACGACTTTTTTAACAAATTACTGTTTTTTCCTTTTTCTCATGCTTTAATGGCCTAGTTTTTATAGTTTTAGCTGAATTTGCCATTTTCACCTCGAAAGAATTTTTTCCATCCTTCTACAAGCCAAGCGCCATTTTTTTTTTTTTTTTTTGAGCTCTTCACACGGTTCACGAGGTTTCCGGCCCCCTCCGATAATAGGAGACGAGTTACAGATAACGAAAATCACTTCGCATTGGCTAAACGCCCACAACTCTTCGCTCCCCCCTACCTACGTCATCCAAAAATAAGACGCTTGAATTTAACAGCCATTTTTCTGCATGTTTCCAGAGGGACAGCTTTACATCGCCAAAGGTCAGTTTTTTTGTTTCTTTTGTTACAACTTTTTCTTGGTCTTAGCAAGACCCATTGAGTTGTTCTTTTCTCAATTTTATTTTATATTTATTTTATTTTATATTGATTATTAACTACAGGTTTTCTTACAGTTTCATAAAATCTACAGTTTAAAAATTAAATTGTTAATCTTTAAGCTTGCAGGCCCAGCCCGAATATATTTGTATTTTAAGGACTAATAGCTCATCGCTATTTATTTTCGTTTTGATTTTAATTTTAGACTAGATTTAGAAAATTTGTTTTTGATTTACATATTTTAACACCTTAATGTGTCTTTCTGAGCGGACGCGTCGGGAAATTGGAACAGAGAATTGAGACTATTAAAATTTCCAAGACACTTTGTCAAAAATTTTTTAGCGAAAAAGTTTCAATTGTCTGTTTCGGCGAAACGCGTAATGGGGTTAGCTTGATTCGACGTTCAAACAAATAATTGAAATTTCCCTTGAAAAGCCTGTTTGGATATCGAATTGGGCTAATTTACCATTTTCCGCTTACTTTTTAACTTTTTCTGTTATTTAATTTTAATTTTATTGTATTTATGTTTTACATGTCTAATGATTTGCTTTTCATGTGTATTAATTTTTGAAAACGTCTTTAACCTTTTGGAGCAGCAGCTCTTGGTAACTTTTAGGCGAGCTTTCTACAATTTTTATTTTTTACTTATTTTGCAGCATATTGCGCAAGATGTTTTCTTGACCAAAATTGTTATTACTGCTTTGCTTGATAAATTATTTCTTTTTCGCAGCTATTAGCGCAAAAAAGTGTCATTAAGTTCTGATATATTCAGTTTTTCAGGTTTTTGAGCTTTAGCTTATAAGTTGCCGGGAACTGTTAACAGTTCCACTTTCACGATAGGTTAGTCTTCCTCCCAAAAAACACTGTAAAGCAGGCTAGCTCCCTCTTTACTTTCAATCACTGGCTCAGATAAATAACATAAAAATAATTAAATGAAGCAACCAGCTTTGAAAAACCTGTAAGGCTAATGCTACTCCTCTCTTCCGCTCCTTCTACTGCAAGTAAAACACAATCACTTTGAAAGACATACAATTGCATCTACCAAATCACCTGTAAAGAATGTTCTCTCTCACATATATAGGTCAAACTAAAAACCCTCTCAACCTCAGAATTAATAACCATAGATCTCATATTAAAAGATTTAAAAATAATAACAATAATAGCACCAAAGATCATCAACTTACAGCTATTCTTGAACATTATTATCAACATAATTTTGATCACATAGAAATTAACGTGCTTGATATTGTTCCTAACACCAAACTTCGACTGTTTAAGGAGTCGATTTACATACTTCAAAATAAGTCACTTTATCCTTACGGACTGAATGCATATCTCAGTAATACCACTAATAGGCAGCACGAGATTTCTATATATGGATGGACAATTCAGATTTTTTTTAGCACTACTACTAACAGAGGAACTAGAGGAGGTGATGCTAAAAACAAAAAATTTTTTTTCGTCACAAGATCTGAAATTAATTATTCATAATCTTAATTCCTACCTTGGACATCAAGACTTCGTTAAAAATGCCATAAAACTTCTTCATACCTTTAAGAATACTACCTTATGGAATCTGATTAAAACAGTAAATCAACCGTCTCAATGCTCCAAAATAGTCAAGGATCTTATTTTAGACTTCTGCAATTTTAAACTAAAAAACAGTAATTTCTTTTCGCAAAAAACTTTTTTGTACTATTCAGTTCAAACACCCTTCTTACGATAAGTTCAAAATTCCTAGCATTTTCAAAAAATATCAGCACTTGCTTCCTAACCAACCTGTCCAGATTCAAACCCTGTTTTAAATTTGAAAAAACCTTGGGTCAACTAGTTATAAACCACCACGTTATAAAAGATAATAGCACTTGTTACTGCCAAATGCCTGTCTACAAAAAATATGTCGATCCTTTCCACCAACATATAGTCACAGGAGATCTTAATATTGTAGAAAATACTGAATTACGTAACCTTATGCAACTTGGCACCAAGTTTCGTCCTACTTTCAGTCTTAATAGACACGTCTGCCTCAAACAATTCAATAATGATCTAGATAAATTTATTATTATTGCTAGTACAAGATCCAATTTACCCACTACAACTTTTCTTGAATGGAAAGCTGCACTTATAAAAGAATTTCAATGTTTGCTTTTCAAGGCGCCTAATTTCAACTCTTTACACAATAAAAAACGCCTGGAGGATCTCATTCAAAAATTGCAACATAACTTTATCATCACGAAGATTGACAAAGCAAGCAACAATTTTAGTATTATTTGACAACACTTCTACTACAACCTTCTGCATAAAGAGTTAAATAACACTTGCACTTACCAAAAAATAACTTCCAGTACTCAGATTCTTCTAAATAAATTTAAAGCACTACATAAAAGACTTAAAATACAACCCCAGAAATATAACAACAGGTTTGCAAATCTCTATGCCTTACCGAAATTTCATAAGTCTCCAATTAAATTCAGGTTCATAGCTAATAGTACTAAAAGTTATCTCAAAGAAATAGATTATCTCTTTGCGCAAAAACTTCGTATGATTCGTGAACTAATCAATAACTATGATTTTAAAGGTTTGCATTGCAACTGGATGATCTCTAGTAATGAACAAGTTATTCTTAAAACTCTGAATTCCCTTCAAATAGAACATATCCAATGCTACGACTTTGAAAACCTTTATACATCTCTACCACTCGAAGAAATTTTTACAAGTTTACTTGCTCTTCCAGATTTATTTCCACAAATTTCTACCATTCTCAGCAACGAAAAATGGCAGCTATTCCTTACCAGCGTTCTCTTCAATAATTTTATTCAGTTTGACAATTACATCTATAAACAAGTTCAGGGAATACCTATGGGCGGGAATTTTTCAACTTCAGTTTGTGAATTATTCCTGTTCACTAAAGAACTAACCTATGTACGTTCACTCAGAACGGAAGAAAGTCTCTTTTTCCAACACATCTATAGATATATTGATGATGTCATAGCATTTAATAACTACAACAACAAAATAGAAAACGCTAATATCTACCCTGCTTGCTTAAAACTTAATAAAACCAATACAGAACAGCATGATATAGTCTACCTTGATTTACATATTATTGATTACCGTTTTATTAAAGTTTACGATAAAAAAGAGAATTTAATTTTTCCACACTTAAACTCACTAACTGGAATTCAAATATTTCCAAAAGAGTAATAATCAACACAATTTATTCACAGCTACTTAGAATGAAAAGAATTTGCAATACTGCGGATCACTTACAAGAAGAAATACTATACTTCGTAACTATTTTAAAAAGTAACCAAATACCACATAAAATAATTAAAAATTCCCTGACCAAAGCTGGCATTAACCTTACCTAATTATAGATTTTTTGAGTTAGATAATGATTTTTTATACCTAAAGCTACGGACGGTTTAAGAAGGATGACTAATTCAGAGAATCTATTGTAAAAATGTACAGAAAATTCTTGTTTATTTATTCATTCTCTTTCCTCCTAAAAAATTTTGGCACTTTAATCTTAAATACTATTATGTACATATTTTTAAATTTAAATTTCTTTAGTGGCCAATTTTACTGCTTTTATTAACAAATCGGGCTTTTTTCATTTTTTCATAGTAGCTTGATCGCCCGCTAGCTTGAAGAATTACGACTTTTTTAACAAATTACTGTTTTTTTTCTTTTTCTTTTTCTCATGCTTTAATGGCCAAGTTTTTATAGTTTTAGCTGAATTTGCCATTTTCACTTCGAAAAATTTTTTTTTTCCATCCTTCTACAAGCCAAGCGCCATTTTTTGAGCTCTTCACACACGATTCACGAGGTTTCCGGCCCCCTCCGATAATAGGAGACGAGTTACAGATAACGAAAATCACTTCGCATTGGCTAAACGCCCACAACTCTTCGCTCCCCCCTACCTACGTCATCCAAAAATAAGACGCTTGAATTTAGCAGCCATTTTTCTGCATGTTTCCAGAGGGACAGCTTTACATCGCCAAAGGTCAGTTTTTGTTTCTTTCTTTTGTTACAAACTTTTTCTTGGTCTTAGCAAGACCCACTGAGTTGTTCTTTTCTCAATTTTTTTATTTTATATTTTATTTTATTATTATTAACTACAGGTTTTCTTACAGTTTCATAAAATCTACAGTTTTTAAAAATTAAATTGTTAATCTTTAAGCTTGCAGGCCCAGCCCGAATATATTTGTATTTTTAGGACTAATAGCTCATCGCTATTTATTTTCGTTTTGATTTTAATTTTAGACTAGATTTAGAAAGTTTTGATTTTGATTTACATATTTTAACACCTTAATGTGTCTTTCTGAGCGGACGCGTCGGGAAATTGGAACAGAGAATTGAGACTATTAAAATTTCCAAGACACTTTGTCAAAAAATTTTTTAGCGAAAAAGTTTCAATTGTCTGTTTCGGCGAAACGCGTAATGGGGTTAGCTTGATTCGACGTTCAAATAATTGAAATTTCCCTTGAAAAGCCTGTTTGGATATCGAATTGGGCTAATTTACCATTTTCCGCTTACTTTTTAACTTTTTCTGTTATTTAATTTTAATTTTATTGTATTTATGTTTTACATGTCTAATGATTTGCTTTTCATGTGTATTAATTTTTAAAAACGTCTTTAACCTTTTGGAGCAGCAGCTCTTGGTAACTTTTAGGCGAGCTTTCTACCATATATATATATATTTATATAATTATATAATAATATATATATGCACTATGTATTATGTATGTAGTCATACGTATGCATACATACAATACATACATGCTACATACAATTGCATACACGTATGCATATGTGTATGTGTGCATATATTATACGATTATATATTTAATACAAAGTTAAGAAAATTCTTTTACTTTTTTTACTGCTTTGATACTTTCTATTTTATAATATGTTTTTATTAGTAAAAAATTTTCTTAGATTCGTATAAAATGATAATAATGCTTTTGAGTTCTTATAAAAGTACAAAATAAAAAATATGTTACCATCTTTCTTCGGTGGTTTCATTTTGTCGTACATTTTCGAATTTTCGGGAAGGATGTCAGTAAAACTTAAGCCACCTTGTCCGGCTCCTAGTCCCCTATTAAATAACAGTTTTATTATTCAGAGATAGATGACACTGTTACATATATGTGGAAATATTTAAACCCTTTTTGCTTATAGGGAGATGATTTTAGGCTTTATTTTGCATTTAAATGAATTTGTGGCCACATATTTTGCGTATAAGTGTTTATTTCTTATACAGAGTTACAGATCTTTCAATTCTGAATCCAACAAAGTTTCATTTGTAAAAGTAGGCCAAGCAGACCACGAGATGTGGGCAACTATGTTCTTTAGTAGCAATTTTTTGTCTCCAGTTTGGCGATATTTGGCAATTTCTCGCAAACTTAAGGATTTTCTGGATGATTTGAGAAAATACATTTTCGATTCCTAAATTATCGATTCTTTCCGAAGTTTCGAGAAGCCCTTACTGCGCTATATAAGTGTGGCTCCAGAAGTTAGTTTTTAGTGAGATTTAGCTCTTAATCGAACTGAGATTTAAATTTTGCTGTGCAAATGATTTTAGAAACTGACGTTACATCACGTGCCCTAAGCAGAAATTGTTTAATTTCCACGTTCTTCTTGAGCTATTTGCGGTTATTTGTTGTGCTCTGTGTCGTAAATTTTTATAATAAATTATTAATTTCTTCATGCTTATCTGGAGTGATCATATAAAGATATATCAACGAACCCTTAGCTCGTAACAATTCGTGTTTCAGTAGTTTATTAGTTTGAATGTCAGTTGTTTATTAGTTTGAGTACCAGTTTTTTAATAGTTGACGACAATTGTTTATTAGTCTGAATACCTCATTTATGCGCCTTTATGAATAATATTAAATTACGATAAGTGGATGTTTCTGGGTTATCTCCTGCAATAGAATATTATGAGAACTGCTTATCATCTTTTCTTATTGTTTGCATTACTGCGTTTATATAATATGATGATGAATATATATGTGTTATATAAAGAGAGTTAATTATGCTTATTCATTAATAATTATTCTTAAACTTTTAATGAGCGTTATATTGTTAAATCCAGATTGTTGCAAAACATATTTAACAGAAAATCAGGACGCTATGCAAAAGCAAACGGTTATTAGGCTAAAAATGTTTTGATGAAAATGAATGCAATGATATTAAATAAGAATATTACCTGAAAAACTTAAATGAATTAGCTTCCGGACAGTTTTAAGCTAATACAGTAACAAATTTTTGTCACATCGTGGAACATGACGGTAAATCTTTTAAAATAATTAAATATCATAAGAAATTCACTTCATAGTTTCTTATGAATTATTATGTAAGGCAGTCACGAATTTAAATGAACTATAAAGAATGTCCCAAACTTCTAAGATTAAACTTTGAGGGAAAGTAGAAAACTTCGATATGGACCATAGTAACTTACGAAAGCAGATCCGGAAACGAATAGGTGGAGCTGAAAGGCAGTACTTCAGATCAGCACCTGAGACTTTCTCATTAAAGATTACACCGCCGTAACACCGAGAACACGTATCGTCTTATGAACGCTGAGTTGACGGATATGCACTTAATGTATAATTTAACTAATGCTAAGGGAACAGCTTCTGTAAAAATGCATTGGGAAAGGTATTCAATCAGACAGTGAACCACAGCACTAAATGTTTTCTCATTTGCATCAAAACCTGTATAAACATAGATCCTTCAGTATTAGGGTGTAGAATACCGGATGCCCCGATCTACCAGAATTCTCATCATAGAAGACAAATGTGTTGTATGCTGTGGGCAGTATTACAGCACAAGCACACTTGTAGAGACATTAGGATTTTTTTTAGAGCAAGAGAGATGAAAAATGAGCAAACGCCTTCGCCGGGAATCGAACCGCGGACCTCTAGAATACGCGCCTAGCAAGCAGACCACCATACCACGAAGGCATGCAAAGAAGGCGGGAGAAATATTTTATACACTTGCCGTTGACACTGTATTGAAAGCATCTCGAACCAGTTTACGGCGCGTTATGCTCGCCGCGGCCATACATCCGTTTAATTTGCATTGTGTCCACTTACTGCAGAAGGAAGTTTATCCACGAGATGTTCTTGTTATATCTTTACACCTTTTCTGTTTCCTGCTGGTGGAGTGGCCGATCATGTTTTCCTATGGTTTATACTGAGGTTCTCGACTAAGTTCCTGCAGGGAGTTTTGAGACATATTATATAATTCAAAATGCTTAGAAGCCCATTGATTACCTAAATTTAAAATATTTCAAGGCAAACAAATATTGTATCGTGCAGTAACATTTCAAGTCTCGCATTCAAGCATTATGTTGAGTAATGCCTTAACGTTAACTAAATGCTCTCATTAATGCCACATTTGTAAAACTAATAGCGATGATTTTTACGCATAGGTAATAGGATATACAGGGTAATTCTAAATTACTTTTACAAATTAAGAGGGGTGATAGTACTCACCCAGATGAGAAATAATTACCATAGAACATAGGGTTGCATTCCATTCTGAGAGGCAGAAAAGAAGAATATTAGAATTCCAATCTGAACTTACAAGAGTGTTGGGAGAGCGAATGAACGACACCAAATGTCGCACAATCAGTTTAGCGACAAATTCACAGAGAGTGCACAAAACGGATAAAACCGAAAATTTGGCGTTTAAGTGTTAATTCGAGCTCAGACTTTGATAGCTAACACTCAAATGGACATCTTTGGTTGGCAAGGTCTCAACCTCGCAAATGATTGCAACAAGTTAATTATCTAAATTATTAGGGGAAAATTATCTATTAGGGGAAAAAAACTACTTTGATATCAAGTGTCAAGGTAGCAGTTGTTTTTCTCTTAGCCATCTTCTATCCTGTCTTCCTGGACTTACTCTGCTGCGCTCATTCTACTTGAAGCGCCGTTCTGTGGGATACGAAGTTCTGACAACCGGGACGCAGAATGAGCTTTTCATGCTAATCTCGGCATGCAGCGGACGTTGGAGTTAGTTGATAATATTCAGCCCTTGATTACATGATTAACTTGTTGCAATCGTTTGCCAGATTAGGACCTTGCCAACCAAAGATGTGCATTTTGAGTGTTTGCTATTAAAGTCTGAGCTCGAATTAACACTCGAACGCCAAGTTTTCGGTTTTATCCGTCTTGTGCACTCTCTATGAGTTTGTAACTAAAGTGATTGTGCAACACTGGTCTCGTTCATTCGCTCTCCCAACACTGTTGTAAGTTCAGATTGGAATTCTGATATTCTTCTTTTCTGCCTCTCAGGGTGGAATGCGACCCTATGTTCTATGATAATTATTGCTCATGCTTTAAGCCTTTTTCCAGTCTTATTTAAGTCTTACGTATTATCCCGTCGACGGAAAATCTAGGGCTAAGCAGTGCTATTTAGATCCAATTAAATGGATAAGCGTGACGTAACAACACACTCAAAATATCTGCGTTTTCTTTTGATGTAAACACGACTAATTACTGATTAGCCAAGTTTTTCTTTTTATGAACAAGAATATAAAATAACTGCTATTGCTGTATTTTGTTTCTTGTATTTTGAAAAAGTGATTTAAATTTGAGACTTGTCTGCTACAGAATAGCAAACAGTGGATTATTTTCAAAGTTATGAGATTCTATTATAAAAAAATGTGTGTATTAATGGACACGGTATGGTCAAATGCACGTGGCCGACCAAAACATAGTACTCACAGCGTACTAAGCAGAGCTTCCGGTAAAATCGGAGGTCCTGACAAAATAGTAGAAAGCGAACGAAAGACTCTTTACGGAGTGCAAAAACTAGGCTGGTCGGATAGCGATTGCTAATTACATAAAAAGGAGTCAGAATTCCGTAGGAACAATTGCCGAAACTTCGGCACAACGTCTGCCAGCTTTCATGATTTAATGGCAAACAATTTTCACGGTCGACAACATAATATGTAAGTACCCTTAGCTACTGGCTAGGTATTAAATAAGGCTGCTTTTAGCGATTAATGACACCGACATAAATTAACTAATGAAACTTATTACTAACTTATCTAAAACCGAGTAAAATAACAATTCGAATTTTTATCAAAGCTTTCATTACATGTGATTTAAAGATCCTTGACACCTTTAAAAACCTAATTGCAAAAAAAAAAAAAAAAAAAAAAAAAAAATGTATATAATAAGCATATGAAACTTGTAGTGGTTGATGCCGTAATATTATATTATTCTTATTATATTATTATATTATTATTATTATTATTTACATCTTCTGTACTGACATTGACCATACACTGGATTTGATTAGTAATTGGTCAAAACAAGTTAAATTGAAATTCGGTTATAAGAAATGTGCTATCATGGGCATAGCTAAAAGAGGTAAAATGATTACTCTTCCAAGAGGACATATTGAAAGATATTCTTTAAAGAGTGTTCGAGAATTAAATTATCTTGGCATTTTAATTGATGATCAACTTACTTTCATTCCTCATTTGAAAGCCCACCAGCGGCCGAGCGGTAAAGTCGCTGAACACTGGTAGTTCGGTCCGAGGTTCGAATCCCGCGAATGGGCTGGCCGCATGGGCGTTTTCGTGGTTTTCCCCATGTGTAACGTGTATACGAGCCAGTTTCCCTTAGAAAGTCCTCCACTAAGGCACCCCTACCCATAGGCAGATAGCCCTCGAGGCTTTGCCATAATCACACACATACACCTCATTTGAAAAAGATTAAGATACAGTGCTCTAGTATTTTGAATAAATTATATGCAATAAAAGGCCTTAATAGCGATATAAAGAAAATATATTATAAGAGAGGGATTGAAAGAAAGATTTTATATTCGTGTGCAGCATGGTATAAAAATAATGTTAGAGTTAACAATTTGTTAATTCAAATTCAAAGGCTTGCGATGTTAAGTATTACTAAGTGTTTCAGAACAGTTTCTAATGCTTGCTTGTTTACTTTAAGTGGTTGTGAGCCAATCTATTTGATTGCTCAAAGAGACTGTATTTTATTTTATTCAAAGTATGGCAGAAGATCTGATAAGGTTTTTGATTTACAAGTGGATATTTCAAATATTGAGATCTATAAAATAGTTAATAAGGTTCATCCTGCATTATTTACTGATTATTTTTGGGATAAGAAGCTCCCTACTCGTTCTGTAGCATAGCATAACGAGATTTTTACTGATGGTTCAAAGATAGATGAAAGAGTGGATTGCTCTTTTGTAGCTTATTCAGATGGTGAAATTGGATTTATTAAAAAGTTTAGATTAGGTGATAATTCAACAGTGTTTCAGGCAGAAGTCTTTGCCATTCTTAAATCTCTGGAATGGATACTGGGGGAAGATACAAAAGAAGATGTTGATTTATTCTCGGATAGTCAAAGTGCATTACTTGCCATTGTTTCTGGAAAATCTTTTACTAAATTGGTTTATGATGCTCATGTACTTCTGATTGAAAATTTGAAAAAAAGAAATATCAATCTTCATTGGATTAAAGGTCATACTGGACACGAAGGAAATGAATTAGCTGTCACTTGTGCTAAACAAGCTACGTTGAAGAGTTCGGTTGATGTTTTTTTTTCCTACCTCTATTGAAACTTTTAAATATGCATTAAAGAACAGAATAATTGATATATGGCAGGACTTCTGGGACAAAGATTCAAAAAGAAGGTACACTTATAGATTCTTTAGAAAAGTTAATAAAAAGAGGTAATGGGTTTTTGGCCCAATTTCTAACAAATCATGCACATGTACCATTATATTATAGTAGATTTAATATTAAATATTTGAAGTGTCTATGTGGTGAACAAGAAGCTGATGTTGAGCATGTGATATTATGTGATTTGTTAAAAAAAATAAGTGGTTAAAGTTCTTACCATGTTTGAATACAGAAAATGATGTAAAAAATTTTCAAATTGAAAAATTTTAAAAAGGAATAATATAATTATGAAAATTATTACTGGAGTCTGAAAATGTTATATTTGAACAGTCACTATAATTTATTATTTTTATAGTTACGTTAAAAAAGTTATAAGAGTACAAGTAATCTACTGTAAATTACTTTATTATGTTTATTTTATAAATATTAATTTAAGTAAATTCAAGTTGAATTGTATTGTATGAATTCTTTTTATTGTATTATTTGTAATCAAAATAGATTGCAATTGATGTAATTTTGTTTTGTTTGTAAAATTTTATGTTTAAATAAAGGTATTTGCTGGTGAGGTCGGCAAATCTTCTCTTAGACTTAGAGTATGAGTACGGTATGTTGGTTTCATAAAATAAATTTTGAATGGTTCTAATAATCCTTGCTTTTGCCGCAAGGTAGCAGGTTTAAAATATCAGTCTTACATCTTCTGTAGCATAACTTCTCTCGCAAAAGAAGCTTTCACCTGAGCATGATAAAAAAAATTTGTTCCATCTCCAGCTTTCTAATTTTCAATATTTTGCAGCAATGCAGGCATTGGCGCAAATATGTGTGAGTGTATCTGAACAAAATATTTCCCCATATTCATTCCACCTGATGAAATTTTCAAGTCTCATGGCCATTCGTTCGCTAAATAGTATAGCCATTGATTTCTTTTTAGTGAACATATGATATATGAATGTGTACACATCGCAGGTGAAAAGCATTATAGAACTCAGTAACGAGGCAGCTCAAAAACAATTCGGAATACGAATGGTAAGGCAACTGAGAGAGTTTCGCAATCAATTCTCCTGTATATGTGGTTTGAAATTCAGTCTTAGATATGTTTCATACAACGAAAGGTTCGCGCATTGCAGTTTGGCAATGAGAGGGGGGAAAACGCTTTTGACTTCCATAATAATACCAGCAAGCTTTGTGTTTCTAATACCTATACTTTTAATGCAATTAATTTTTAAGTATGTCAAAAATGTTTGGATTATCCTGTAAGGTAACTATTTTAAACGTACCAGCTATTATGATTTCGGTTTTTGCTATAACTTCTCCTTTCCGTATTCCTCTCCAGAATGCAAATGAGCTGACTAGTATTTAAACTGAGGTTTTTCGGATTTCAAGGCAGAGCCTGTGTCTGGCTCCACTTGCAAGTTACGTGTTAATTTTCTGCCAGTCTTGTAGTTGTAATTCTTCGGCGTTGCTTTTTATCGTTGCCGACATTTTGATTTTGACGCTTCGGCCTGAGTCAGCTTCTAGTAACATTTAATTCTGTAGTCTTTAACTAATTTTCAGCGCTTAATTTAAATTTGACTGTTATATTTAGTAGCATCTCCACGAGTTGTGACCTTTATTGTAGCGCAAGCGAATGCGCTTGTGTTCTAAATTCTGTTCAAATAAAAAGATTATTTTAAACTTGTAACTCCTTTGTCTTTTTCAGACACAGCAATAATTCGCTTTACGTCTGTTAGGGTTTTTGGACTACTTAACCAGATCAAGAACAGCGCTACAACCCTATAAAATTAAAATGCAGCTTAACGTTCCCTTGCTTCTGACAGACTAAAGACCATCATATTCAAACACAATCAAAGATTCGAAACAATCAAACATTAAATTATGTACTCGGACTGTGTAACTACTCTCGTCACTAACACAATTTATAAGTGTAGTAATTTAAACCTGAATAATGCTATCATATATTTAGTTTACAGTACTGTATGGTGGAGGTTAGTATACTAGGAGAGTCGCGAATAGAATTTCCTTCGCACATTTTCAGATTGGATGCTAGCTACTCAAATTCTGCAGTGGGTTCAGTCTATTTTAAACGAATTTGCATATATGCGGAACGAGATTGAATTGAAATTAGGCGAAAAGGCATAGTAAACTAAAAGTTTAACTATTACTAAAACATAATTTTGCCTACTTTGGTGATTCTATTTTAGCAGATATTAAAGAAATTACGTTTTTAATAATCCATAAAGAATTTTAGAATGAAGTTAGATACTTTTGTGAATAAACATTCTGTTAAATACACTGCCTGACAAAGCAGATGCCTCACCATGAAAGAAATACTGGAAACAGACCGAATTTTGTATGAACTTTTAACAAATGATTTAATTTTCAAAGACGTACAATAAAGCATTTGAGTACACGGAGCATCAATAAAGTATTGCGGTCTCACTACTGGCAATATATTCTTGAATACGTCTTTGCGCTGAACCAATAAGTGTCAGAATCATGTTCTGTGGTATCATGCATCCGCGTTGTTCATGTAACCTCTCAGTTCATCTTTGTTTCTTGCAAGGAGGGAAGTATTCAATCGAAGCTCAAATCCCACGGTTGCTCGATTAGCGAGAGCTCGAGAATCAAGCTGGCCAAGGGAGCACTTCCACACATTGTAACGAATTCAGGATAAGTCAAGAATGTTTGGCCAAGCGATATCGTTTTGAAAAAGGCTTTGGTATATTCTTGAAGATACGAAAGAAGATGAGTCTACAGCGAATTATCAGCATTGCGGCATCCAGTTAATATACTAGTAATGCGCACTAAAGATGAAAGATTCAACGATGACAAGCCATGTATTGATCGAAAATAGTAGGGGCATCAGCCTGGTGGCCACGTCGGCCTCATATACCGATCATAATTTATGAGGCATAAACGACTTTCTTGCTGAAGACTTCATTGTTCCGTTCTGCTCTCCATGCATCTATGCAGTGACACCATTATAAATATGCAAAACTATGCCTTCCGCTTTATGGGAGACTTCACAAAAAATAGATGGACATCAAATCTACATCAGCCAGTCACCATGAAACTGTCTGCGACGACATTATAGCAGTGGGAAAATCCTGTACACTTTTCAATATCTCTGATTTGGATCATGAATCAGATACTAAGCGCCGGAGATGCGCTGATCGAGAAGAGCGCTGTTCTGATCGGAGGCTGTTCAATGAACTATGCTGACGGTTTCCCCAGCGTGACGTCGTATGTGGCGATTAGAGCATTTGGACGTCCATCTCCGCAGCCCTCACGACACTACATATTTCTTTCCTGGATCTAGTGTTCCCAAATCCTACCAACAGCTGTGGCATAACCTTGCACTTTATTTGCGATATGGCTCAAGGGTCAATCAGTTACATCACCTATGTGACCTATGTGACATATGTGACCTATCTATCACCTAAGTAAAATTTGTCAGATGCTGATACTAAGCCATTTTACAGGCATTATCTTATTCGTTCACTAGACTCAAAGAGAGTAGTAAAACTTTTGTGTTATAGCCGTGACTCCAGATGGTTTTGAAAGAAGTTTGAGTTCTTAAGCTACTCGTCTGCTTCTCTTGCAAATGCAATCATTTGCATAACTTATACGCAGGCACTTCTATATAAATCTGGATGGCATTCGTTTGCTTCTCCGTAGTGCGATTTTCTCTGTGAAGCTGTATATTTAATGACGTTAGTACGCACGAGGTCTATTTGCTGTCGAAGTGGATTTTCGGGGAAAACTGGTAAGTTTATTCATTATAGCTTAAAAATCACAGAATCACTCTTACAGCCTTCTTAATCTGATAGACATCGAACCCTGAACAAAATCGTTAATGTTCAGCGGTTCTAACAGTAGCTGCTTTATAAAGATGAAAACACTATTTATGGATTAAAATAACAAATTCTTCTCGATATAATAATACAGAATTCAGCATTTCTCTAGCAAAAACGTTATAAAATGAAATGTTATTCTTACTTACACGCTAAGTAACGACAGCAAAAGGCCTAATCCCAGCCAGGCGGGATGTTTGCAAAGGGGACGGATAAACCACATGCGGGATGCTGTCACGAGTCTCTGGTCCGAGCCAAGGCGAGACTTGGAAACGACAGCTCTTTCCTAAATAATCTTCTTTTCACCATTCAGGATGCCCACGCCGTAGATATACCTTATAAAACTGAAAAATAAATTTTAAAAATATGTAATTTATTATCTGTTGTGCCATAATTCTTAGGATTATATTAATACTAACTTAGTACAGTAAGACCCCGCTTAACGCTGTTTCGTTCAGCGCTGTTTCGGTTTAGCGCTCTTTTATTTCAACCCGGGGATTCTCCGAAATTGTGCGCAGCGCTAGGTTTCCAAATACATATCCGAAACAGTGTAGTTGTGTTTCTTGCTTGGTGGACGCATTTTTATCATTTGAAACATTTGTTGACATTATTGGAAGTATAAATTTATATAATACTACAACGATTAATACAGTTACAAATATTATGATCTTTAGGTTTTATCAAGGGTGATAATAAAAAACAAGAAAAGAAAGCAACCGAGAAAAAAGCATTTCACTGGAAACTCAAAATGCGAGTGATTAGAAGATTAGATTCTGGTGAACGTCAATCTCAAATTAGTGGCTGCATTGAATTTGGCAACTTCAAGAATAAGGGCAATTCTTAAGAATAAAGAAAAAAATACTGTCAATCGGCAACTGCAACTACGTCAAGCTCTGCAACTAGAATTACCCGTTCTAGAAATAACATTAAAGAGGAAATGGAAAAACGACTGTCTATATGGATTGACGATGAAATTGAACGCAATATGCCATTAAGCCAATCTATCATAATGCCTTCTTAACAAAAAGGCAGAAAAATTGGAACCCAGAATAAACTGAATGATCTGACTGAGAATTTTATTTGTTTTGAAAAGTATGCGTTTATATTGTTTTTATTTTTGTAAGAAATAAATGTTTGATTTTATTTTTATTAAAAAAAACATTATTAAATTTAATGCCTAACCATTTCTTATCCGTCTTCCCCTAACCCCATTATTTACATGTTAAGATAGCCTCGCTTAGCGCTGTTTCGCATTACGCTCTACTTCGATGGAACGTATCCCCCGCGTTAAGCGGGGTCTTACTGTATTACATTTCGGAGTCTTTGTAAAAGCCTTTACTTCAACTGAATAACGAATCGACAACGATCTTCATTTCGGCATATTTAAATAACTATTCTTAAATAAACGCACACATTAAACATCAAGACTTTTATCGAGATAACCATAAGGATTGTTCACAGTCACGAAAAGGAGAGCCAGTGCATTTTAGGTTCATTCAAAAGTCTGCATACAGGTAACCCCAGTATAACACGATTGTCATGCTTCTAAAAAATACTGAGTTATATAACTTTGTGTTATACGAGTTAAAGAACTACTACAGAAACTAGTTCTAGGTTCCAAAGTTGAAAAACAAAACTATACTCTTTCACTTTGTATTTAATAAAAAGATGTTTATTACAGCAGTTATTTGATTAAACGTTTTACATATTAAGACTACGTAATATTTTCTTCGTCAACAGTTAATGCTCATTAAACGAAGACAAATAGCCTCATTTTTTTAGCAGAAATTCGAATTTATGCTCCACTTTTCGCAAGGGGGGATTGTTATCTTCAATAATTTGCTTTTAGTTGAGAGATCTCGCTAAATTTTGTTATGGAAAGTTAAATACTGCAGGAATTCTGTTTTAAATTTTGGTATTCATTCAGTGGCAGGATTTTCGTTAAAAATACAACTGCAGTTGTTCGGATATGCGCGAAGCAATTAATTATTTTTGTTTTTCTTTTTCTATTCTTTCTAATTTTATTTTGACTTAGTAATAGTTTAGTTTAACATGCTAAGAAGGTAAGGTTCTGCCGTAGGTACTTGATAATGGCCTATGTTTGAATCGTATAAAGCGAAACATTAACGTAGAAACGTTTTGTTATAGAGACTCTTCTCCAGTTTTCGAGCCGTGTTAGAGCGAAACCGTATTAAAAAATGTGCCTGTAATACCGACTACGCTAATGACTGTTGTGTAGTCGTGCTTTCATATTCTCTGATTCAATATAAGCAGTTTCACTTATTCGCGATTTCGTGTAGTAGAGAAAAATTATCCCGCTTGGTTTAACCTTCGATCGGGATCCTCCATAGTAGCTTTAGTTCAGTAGAGAAAAATTCTCAAAGTTTCGTAAGTTATAAATCGCATGAGCAGTTACAACGGTTCATAATGTAACCTAAGTACAGGATTTCAGATATATCCAACTATATTTTCTGACGCATTTGCAATCTTGTTTTCGGTCGATAGAGCTAAATACGGAGAATGGTTGGTTTAGGTTATCTGAATATGCCGAAGCACAAAAGGAGTATTTGTCTAAGGGGAGGAATATTTTCGTGGTGGAATTTCTCAAGGAAATTGGTTCGTATTTGACAATACATATGGGTAACATTACGGAAACCAAAAAATGCACTTAGTCCATTCGTTTAGCTTTGAATTCGGGTCGAACTACCCGAATTCGAACTTTTAAGCGGCTTTTAAAAGAGAACTTGCAATTTCTTTTTCAAAAGCAGTCCTATCAACACAAACGCGGACATCTATCGTAACAACTTAAAATACAGTTTTATTATCCCAATTAAGCGAAATATGTTCTCTTCCAGGCATAAATTTCAATTCTAGAACTTTACATCACAAGCTATTTAGCTCGAATCGATTCCCACAGTTGCCTAATCGAAATGATGACATGTTAGCCCCGAGTTCAAAGTTGCTGCTGCCCGTTCTGTTAGTTACGTAATAATGTAAATGCACCTCTAAACAACAAAGCTTAATGTTCAATTGCTCCAATTTAAATGTAATAATCTTCAGATAAATGAAAAATGTTGTTTTAGAGAAACAATAACAATATACAGTGGATGGACAAAAATATGGAAACACCTTGTGAAATGCATGTTTGAAAAGAAAGATTGATTTTAATGAAATATGTAGGTGGCGCTGGCGTTTTTGACTACTGACGCCACCTATACAACTTCGTAAATGTGTTAAACAGTTCAGTTGTTGTCGGAGTACTGTTATGTGAGGTTGTCATTGCATTATGTCAGAGTTAACAGACTTCGAACGTGGGCAAATTGTTGGAGCACGTATGGTAGGTGCTTCCGTAAGCAAGGTAGCCGAGGTGTTTAGTGTTTCAAGAGGTACTGTATCGAAGATTTATTCCGCATATTTGAAAAGCGGAAAAACATCATCTGCTAAATCACAGCGCGGACGAAAGTGTGTCCTGAGTGATCGTGACAGACGATCATTAAGGGCAATTGTGACGAAAAATAAGAAGACCACAGCTGCAAAAGTTACTGCTGAAATGAATGTTGTGTTACCGAACCCTGTGAGTACCAAAACAATTAGAAGGGAGCTTCATAAACAGGGAATTGCTGGCCGTGCTGCAATTGAGAAATGCCACTCATCAGTGATGCTAATGCCCGTAACAGGAAAAGGTGGTGTTTAGTTTAAGTCATAAAGCCTGGACTATAGAGCAGTGGAAGCGAGTAATATGGTCTGACGAGTCTTCTTTCACATTGTTTCCCACTTCTGGCCGAGTTTACGTCTGGAGAACGCCATCTCAAGCCTATAATACAGACTGCTTGTTGCCAAGAGTGAAACATGGCGGGGGTTCTGTTATGGTTTGGGCAGCCATATCGTGGTTCTCTGCTAGCCCCATGATAACTGTGTCAGGGCACACATGACTGCCAAGACTTATGTGAACATTTTGGCCGATCAAGTTCATCCCATGGTACAAACTTTGTTCCCCGATGGTGATGGTGTCTTCCAAGACGACAAAGCCCCTGTTCACACAGCTCACATTGTCCAGGACTGGTTTTCTGAGCACGAGGATGAGTTGTCCCATCTCCCCTGGCCACCACAGTCACCAGACCTGAATATTATCGAACCTTTGTGGTCTACATTGGAACGGAAAGTGCGTTCTCGTTATCCACCGCCAACATCGTTATCTGAACTTGCCACCGTTTTGCAGGAAGAATGGTATAATATTCCCTTGGCAAACATACAGGAACTGTATTTATCCATTCCGAGAAGACTGCAAGCTGTTTTGGATGCCAACGGGTTTCCTACACCATATTAAGCAAAGAAACATGTTTTTTTAAAGGTGTTTCCATATTTTTGTCCACCCCCTGTATATTTTTAATTTCATAGAAATGCTTTTTGCAGCCCATGAAACAAAAAAACATTTACATTTCTTTTGGTTGCATTCAAATTAAAAAGTAGGGTTGAATAGCCAACGGTTACCGAAATTGAAGTCATAATATCAAAAACAGGTGCACATCTTTTCGGTCTGATTTGCCAAATGAAAACTTTCTCTGATTTTCTCATAACAATCAAGAATTGAGCAAAAATATAAGAAATGCTTTTTTTTTTTTTTTTTTTTAATAATGTTAGAAGTGTTAGCAGTTCCGTACAGACAACAAACTTTGAATTACCAGAAAAGTCTATTCAGGGAAGTAAAAAGCAGCGAACATACACGGTTTCCATTTACGAATCTCCTGAAATTGGAAGTAAGAAAAGGAATCTGGATTGAGTTACATACATACCTTTTGTATTACAAGTACTTCCGTTTCTCAAGAGTCATTCTTCTTGCCATAATATATAGAGCAATACCTATGTTTCGGCCACCAGAGCTCTCTGCCTGTCTGTGAGATATTATTTCGCAATGGGCAGATCGTTTGCGCAGCTCGCATTTTGTTCTTGCATTCTTGCAAACGCTAATTGTAACTCTTTCGCTTTACTTTGTGCTGTGTTGTGTTCGAAAGTTCGAACTGCCGAATAAAGGTTAATCTACAGTCCACTCGCATTGATGTATTCTTATGTTTATTAATTTAAATTTAAGATACCGCTACGCTACATTATTTTGGTCGTCCTACGCCGGAGTTTCGAAGAAAAACCGCGCTTGTGATTAAGAATTCTACGTGTTCGTAATGGTGTTGATAACGCACTTTCGGTATAGAATTCTCAAGAGTTTCGCAGTGGATACAGTGTAGGATTTGAGTGAAATAGTTAAAGCATTTTAATTGCATTTGACATTTCGTTATTGCTACTTTATTGTGATTAAAGTATTGGTAAAATCGAGAATTTAAAATATTTT